CATGAGTACATTCCATGTTTATGTATTCCCCACCTGACAAATCAGAACTGCTTCTGTTCATGGTGATTATGAATTAAAAAGTATAAACATTTCAATATTCATTTCTGTGTGAACATATGAGTTATTTCACTTAGGTATTTTATGTGTTTGATTTCTGGGTCAAATTTGGTTAGTCAATTTTTTTTCAAAGTCTCATTTAATATATGTAAGATGATATAAAAATGTATCGGTGACGTTACTATACAGATATGAAATACCTGTGTTACCTAGATTCAACCATTCAGTAACCTACTTTTACTAACTTTGTAATTTTGAAAGAATTATAGATATACATACATGAGTTTTGAGAATTCCCATATACTCTGGGTGCTAGAGTACGGCTTATCAATATCATATGGCTTATCAATATTATCTCCCAGTCTATAGCTTATCTTTGCAGTCTCTTCATACAGTCTTTAACAGAGCAAGTTTCAAGTTTTAAATCTGGTTTATCATTTTATCCTTCTATGGACTGTACTTTTCATGTCAATTCTAATAATTCTTTGCAGAGACCAAGATCTTAATGACTTCTTCCTATTTTCATTCTAAAGATAATAATTTTATGTCTTACAATTAAAAAATTCAGTTAATTTTTATATAAAGCATAATATTTGAGTTGAGGTTTATTTTATTTAGTGAGCTAGTTGGTTTTTGCCTGGGGAGGTTCAAGTGTTCCTAAATTATTAGTGAAACGGCTATCTACTTTCACTGAATTGCTTCTGCATTTCTGTCAAAAGTGGGAGTGTATCTTTGTGGTTCTATTTCTGGGCTGTATTCCATTGCACTGATCTGTAAGTTTATCTCTCTAGTAGTACCACAGCACACTGATCACCATAGCTATAGAACAGATCAGATTATACAGAAAGCAGGTGATGATTCCACTTTTGCAAAATTGTTTTAGCTCTTTCAGATCCAGTTATCTCAGAATTCTCTTGGTTATATATAAAATCTCTTGCCGAAATTCTGACAGGATTGCATACTAACTAAAAATTTGCTATGCTGGGTCTTCTAGTTCATAAACAAATTCTCTCTCCATTTTGTTAGATCATTTTTGACTTCCTTCACCAGCACTTTTTGATTTTAGTATACATTACACTTTTGGTTGGATTTACACCAAGTATTTTAATAAAATTTTTGAGACATTCCAGTTCTAAATGTATTCTTAATTTTGGTGTCTATGTTTACTCCGTACACTGGAAGAACATGGATTTTTGTCTAACTTACCTTTTATCTTGTAACCCTGTTGGACTCATTTATTAGTTCTAAGAATTCTTTCTTTTTCTTTTTTGTAGATTTCTTGAGATTTTCACAGTCAATCATGATAGACTATAAGTAGGGATACTTGCCCCTCCCATTCTCATCTATATGCCTTTTAATTTCCTTTTATTTTCTTTATTGCAATAACTAGAACCTCTAGTACTATGCTGAATGAAAGCAGTAAGACGGATAAGACAGACGGCCTTGCCTTGTTCTTGATCTTAGCAGTAAAAGCAGTTTTTCCTTATCAAGTATGATGTTACTTGTAGATTTTATAAATGTTAATAAAATTGTAAACAGGGCAGCCTGACGAAGATATACATCAGGTGGTACCCAAAATTTATTCCCACTCAGAAACTAGCTATTGGTAAGATACACTATCAACTATTTGGGTATATATTTTTAAAAAGTTAGTTAATTAATTTCTCCTTTGATAGAAATGCTGTTTTTAAAGAATCTAGAGCCAGGTGTGGTGGTGCACACGTGTAACCCCAGCACTCAGGAGAGGTTGAAGCAGGAGGACTGTTGCGAGTTCGAGGCCAGCCTAGGCTACAAAGTGAGCTCAAAACCAGCCTGAACTGCATAGTGATACCCTGTCTAAAAACAAACAAACAAACAAAAATTTAGACCCACCCCTTTTGGGAAAATATTGTAAGTTCTGAAATCATAATTGGGCAATTGAGTCAACAGTCACACACTTTAAAATTCAAAGTATATGGAAAATGTAAAATGAATTTCCATGAAGTAGTCAAGAATAAAAGTTTTCCCAGTAAAAAAAAAAAAAAAAGTTGCACAGTATCATAAAAGAATTAAAAACTCTAATTAGAGTTTCAGTTGCTGGTTTAAAAAAGATACATATTACAACTAAAGTGCTTCACAATTTGTTACCATTCAAATCATGAATATCACAGAAAAAAACCCTTTATTTTTATATATAATTTAACAAAAGCCAGTTGACTCGGTAAACTAAAATGTGTATTATAACCTATGGAGATTTAAACAATTTCATACACACTCACCCTTAATTATACACACTCACCCTTAACAACCCAGATCATAAACTAAATAAAAAAGGCCCTAAGAAACTTTGTTATTTACCTTCACCGTATTCTGAATAAAATATTTTTAAAATCACAATGGGAAATGGCAAAATTGAAGTCTGTGAACAGCCAAGCTGAGTAAAGACAGCTATAAATGGTGAAAGATTAGAGAATGAAAACTTTCAGTCATGCATTTACCTTATCAGCTTTTAGCTTTCTAAGGAAAGATGGACTGTCATATCCCTTGGCTTGCCTTGCCTCTTGCAGATGGTTGATCATCCACACATTTTTTCTCTGCTTTGCCAAATCAAGTGCCGATTCACCCTGATAATGTAATTGGAAGAAATTCCCATTAAAAATAAAACAAGACTATTTCAATGATAACTTCGAAGGCACTTCCATAAAAATAAACTGACCACATTAATACACTAACATTGTTGGGGTTTTTTTTGGTAACAGGAATCAAACTCAGGACTTGTGCTTGCCAGGCAGACACTATGCCACTGAGCTACATCCCCAACCCACTAACACTGTTTCAACACTGCGTAAGGTCAATTTAAAAAATCTAAATCAATACATATTTATTATGATATCCCAAAGTACAGTCAGAAAGTGCATTTTTTCACCTTATTTTGTACACTATTTTTGCTTACATTTGGACATACTAGAGAGCAATCAAAAAGTAGGTATTTTAATACCTGCTGGATCAGTGGCTGTCACTATAAGTTTATCAGTAATTTTATATTCTTTAAAGATTTCATTAGTAATACTTATTATTACAAAACATCCTACTACATAAATTGCCAGGTATCTTTCAGTTTTACTTCAATGCTAGAAAGAGCCTTAAGAAGAGAATAGGGAAGAAAAAGAACAGTCAAATTCTGTTTCTGCTGCTACAATGCTGGCTTGGCATTCTTGACCTACGTATTAACTCACTACCTCATCCAGAAATTTGCACACATTAAGAAAAGTGAATTTTTAAAAAGCAGTTTAGCTGAAGTTATAAACTTACAGCAGATCCCTTTAATGTAAAGAAAAAGAACGCCTAGGAGTGTAAGTGCGTAGGACTAAAATGTATGAAATGAAGAAACAAGACATACAAATTCCAAGACTAGACTTACTTTCCTTTTTTCCTTTTACTAATTTAAACTTACATTTCTCCTTTTGCAAATTAGTCAGGCACCTACATTTTCATTCTATTCAATGCCTCCCACTATTTCTTTAATAGAAAAGTGAAATTACAATTACTGTTAACCAAAATTTAAAGAATGTACAGACTGGCAACTCAAATTGCTTTAGAAAAATAAACAATGAAATTTTTTTTCTAAATGTTGAAAAACAAGAAATAAGAAATAAGGAATCTTAAAAAGTACCTTACTCATGAGGGATAATTACTTATCAAGAATAGTGTGTGTTTTATTTCTAAAATAAAATAAAACATCACCACCACCAATAGCAACAACTATTACAAAACAACAATAAAAAACCCACCAATCTTTTAATATAAAAATCAATGGTATTTATTAAGGAATGGGCTAACCTAGGTGAATCTTTCACAATTGGGGATGTTTAGTTTAAGTATCTCCTTGCTTATTCCAGAATTCCATCACCTAAGTTGTCACAACCAGCTAATTAATCCAAACTATAAATATTACCTGAATAATAGCAATCCCTTGGGTAACAACTCCCAGAGAATATCCTGCAGTTGCCTCGGTCCAGCTGAGCATCCCTTCCACTAGAGGGCCATGTGACACCTAAGGATTGCCTAGACAAAAAGATTGAGTGTGCTTTAAAAAAATCTTTAAACTACTCCTCTAGTCATCTGACTATTTTTGTATAGTTCTTTTATTCAGCTGGTAAGCAAGCAATTATTTTTAAAAATTACACTTAAATCAGGGTTCTGAATTAAATCTGTATTTGGTCACTCCATGTCTCGGCAAAAATAATAAATAATAGTACAACAGCAACATCAGCAAGAATCCACATGGAGCATTTATAAAAGAAATTCTTCAAGGGTTTTAGTCAGATAAACATTATGGCAGCTTTTTCTAAGTGAGACTGAATTTCACTGACAATATTAAGGAAAATTCCTCAGAGACCCTCTAGGTCAGGTATTCAAGAGGTAGTAAACAATTATTTTCTGAAAAATGTCTTACCTCCTTTGAAGAAATCATACAAGATCTTTCAATATATTAACAGAGCTCATTAATTTTGTATTCTATATAAACTAAGATTTATGTCCTTTTATAATTTTAAAAAGAAAATATTATAAAGGGCTTTATCAGCCCTCAAGGTAATTGTTCCCCCCAAACTCAACTCATCTAAATTTAGCTATATAACCAAAAACATGCTAGGGGATAAAATGTTTTAAAAAGTCTGAACTGAAACACTGCTCCCAAAATAACAATGATATAGACCATAGTTTTGATGTTTATTCTTAATAGAGCAAATTACTTTTTCCTATTATTGTTGCTTAACAAGAAAAGATTTAAGTCTATTCTATGTAACTATTATCTAGGACCATGAATCTTAAATTCTCTTGAGTTATATCTAGTTAAAGCTAATAACCCTCTCCTCAGAAAATGCTAATGCATGACTTTTACCCACTCCAAAATCCCCTGGTAGACTCCAGAGTGAGAATCAAAAGAGCTGTTTTAAAGTTACCTATCATTTAGTATCAACTGTCTTCAAAATACGTTCCCTTATTTCAATAGAAGATCCATTTCTTTATATATTAAAATAATTTAATTCCTTTGGTTAATTTACAAAGGCAAATCTCAAAATAATGTTTCCAAGGAACCAGCTCAATCTTATAAGGAAAGTAATTATTTTAGAAGTAGGATCAACCATTAGTTGAATAGTTTAGAACACCATGTATAATTTTTCATATTCTTTGAAGAATGTAACTCTTTATTGCTCTTAAAAGTCAAATCCGAGTTTCTAGGCTACCTGCTACTGTTTCAGATCATTTTTATCAGCAAGACTTTCCTAAGATTTAAGACAGGTATAAATAAATATACTGCCAATTTCTGGACAAAGAATCTGATTTCCTTAAAATGAATTTTTCTTTCAAAATCTGCAACAATCTAAACGTACTTAATTAACTTAATATAGTACACACAGCTAAAAGGTACCACTTCAAACAAAATACTACCAAAACAGAACCAATTCCTATCACCCTCACCCTCAAAAAAGTATTTCTCCTTCAATCTTCAAAATCTCAACATATATCACAAGACACTCAGTTAATTAAAAGAAAGCTAAGTCATCAATATTTTCTTTTATTTCTACTCTAAAATATCCTATCCAAATCCATTCACTTCCTGCCACTTCTACTCGCGGGTCCTAGGCTAAGCTAGTATCACCCTATGCCTAATTTATTACAGCAGACCAAGTGATCCCTATTCCTTTCCATTTTCTTAAATTTTCAATGCTTCTTCCTCAGCCAAGGTAATACTTTAAAGATGCACATCTGACACCTGCTTCTCAAGCAACTTCATTTCCTTGCTCACTCTACTCTGGCCAACTTGTCCCTTTTTTGTACCTTGAATATGGCAAACTGTTTACAGCTTTTTACTCACATGTTCCTCTACATGGAAAGATTTCCCTCACACATCTTTACATAACTGGCTGTTTCTCACCACATATTTCTCAAGGTAAATGTCATCTCCTGAGAAGCATTCTCAAATCACTCTTAGATGCTGTGGCTCTCTCAAACCCTGTGACTCAATTGTCATTTTTAGCTTATTTATGGATTATATCCTCAATTTAAGTTCTGAGAGAAGAGCGACCGTATCTGTCAAACATTTTCACTACGCACCACTGAACAAGTACGTGTTGAGTAAAAAGCAACAGTTTCTATTATAAGGTGGTGACCACATTCAACTTCACTGGGACCAGATTCCAGTAGAAAAGGCAACTAATACTTCATCCTCTTAGTAACACAGGAAGTGCATTTTAAAACAAAACTCTACCATTCAACAGAAAAGATAAAAAGACAACTTTCCCTGAGAGTATAAATGCTGCCTGAGCAAATGAAATACCTTAGATTTTATTTTCGATAACTAATGTCGCTCCAGAAGCTACCAGAGAATTATATTTAAAGTAATTTTTGTCCTAGTCCACCTTGAATATATGTGTCAGAAATTAAAATAGTAAAAATGTGTGAAAAATGTTCTTTTACAAACATACATAAATTTAAATAGTCAAGGAAGCTACATTCCACTTTATCTGATCTCTAAAACTAATGTACCTGAACATATAATACAATTTTTTTAAAAATACAAAATCATTTAAATCACTTCAAATATATCTATTCTTACCATTACCAGTCTGTTGAAGTTCATTACAGATTATTTCTTTTACTAAGATTAAAGGTTGGTGCAATGGTTAATGGGGATCACAACTTTTCATTACTTACATGAAAAGATGTTAAAATTATAAACCATACCTCAAATACTTAACAATTGTGACAGAATAAATTTTTTTATGGATACAAATGATGTTTAAAAAATTCTAAAAGCATTGCTGGTTTCAAATTACAAAACCATGTAGTTACCTTACTGTAGGAATTCTTTGGCATTACTGCAGTTTCAATATACTATATGGCTACTGGCAGAAGAAGGTATACAGAGTTTTACTATTTGCCACTCTGAAATTGGTTCAAAACACTAAATATCTTGAAATGTATTTCTGGCACATCACCACTTTAGGAATGTGTGTCTAGCAACAAAGAGAAGAAAAGCACCAGAAAGTAATTCAAAAGAAAATATGAGCAGACTTCACTGAACTTTTCTTGTGGGATTACTAACCAGGTTAGGTCAAACCTACCATCTCTTTGACCTGGGTTCTAACTAATTTACTAATTCTAGTGTACAAACTTTTCAGAGCATCCTATTTAAAAATTTTTGGGAAAGCCAAAATTTCTCCATAGTTTCTAAGTGGCAGAAACATAGCTTAGCAGTCATTAAATATAGCCTGGGTAAAAGTCAAGACTATGCCAATCTTCATTCATGCAGCCAGTAAATAAATACAGCAAGACCATCCTTCATGTGTCAGGCACTACAGTATGGCATGCTATGGTGACTTTCCTCTTTGCTGTGTTTGGAAGCAGTTACTGGATCATTTGAGCACTTGAACAGAGACAAGATGACTTTGAAGTTTAAAAAAATAAAGGCAACACATACAAGGTTTTATCAATTTCCTAATTTCCAATATTAGGTACTTCCTTTAAATATTTATAACTAGGCTCATTTCTAAAAATTAGTTATAACCTTAAATAAGTTATAGTTTAAAACTAATGAACGCTGTTTTACTTTAGTAGCTTTAACTTCTCTTCTTAAAGTAACCAAATCAAGGAAGAATGACTCATTGGAACATAAAGAGATGCCCCGATCCAGCAAGAGATACCTACTTTTTGATTGGCCATTTCAGGTTAGCATGTGGCTTGAACTCTCTTCATATTTAATTAGCTCATATCCTTTAGACATTTATAAAACATGACAATGAATTACAGCTAAAATTAAAGAACACTTGTCAATGGGCACAGTCCCTTCTGACAATAATGCTTAACGCCATTTCATAGAAAGAGTCCTGGTGCTGAAAGACTCTTGTCCAAAGCTGTAAAACTAAGGGCAACCAAAATTTAAGCCTACCAGTAGATTCTTCTTACATGTATTCATAAAATGCCTACAAATATCTAAATTTTCAAGAGAGTAAATGTTAATTTTACTTGGCTGTTGAACAATTTTATACTTTTCCGGGGTTAGTTCACCATTTAGGTGGGGGGGGGTCTCCTATAAATAGCATAAAGGTACTTATCAAATTTCAGAGACTGACCTTACAAAAAAGCAGTAAATGACCAAGTCAAAAATTACTAAAATTTATGACAAGGGGTTTAGCTACGAACTTACGCTATCTGTAATGATCTTAAACCAAAACACTACTTCCTTTCATCTGTAAAAATAGTTACATAATCTAATCTCCAAAACCAGTATGCATTCATTAAAGCAAAGGATGCCAATATTTAATACCAATATTTAATAAAGCAAAGGATACCAATATTTCAATATTGCAATATCAAAGTAAATGATCCAAGGTTTGAAAACCAATTATTACTCCAGAACTAAAGGGTTGAGCTAAGTAAGTTTCTTTCAACTTTCACAGTCTATGAAAAAACTGTTTTATTGAGGAACTCATATATTACAAGTCACATTTCACATAGCATCATCAAAATTGTTTGCTTTTACCTTGATATTCTGGGCATCAACGTTAGCTCCAGCTTCCAAAAGAAGACTAATGACTGTGGTATTCCCTGCTAGTACTGCCCAGTGCAGGGCAGTGTTTTTGTGATACTTGTCACCAAGGTTAACTGAAACATTGAATGTTAAAAGCAATCTAGTTGGATCCACACTGAAAAGGAAAAAAAAAAACACAACAACAACAACAACCCTAATTTCAATTATCGAAATCATTACAAATACTAAACTGACTGTGGTTACATTTGCATTCCATTTCGGAACACTTCTAACCTACTCAACAACTTTAAAATCGTAGTAAGACAATACTTTAATATTAAGTTTTAAGTATATGCAACTCAGATAAGTAATAGAGTTTTAAGGGACAGAATACTTGGTCCTGATATTTTCTATTTTTGATGTAGGAACTGATGTTATTAATACCTAAATAATTAAAGAATATGAATATTTTAATTTTAATCCGGACTATTCCACAAATAATTTAAGACAACTTACAAATTAATACATTAAACTTGCCAGTATGTAAATCACATGAAAAATTAATTACTTTTTTAAAGAAGATAACTTCTTTCATCTTTACGAACTGTTAAAAGGAGGAATAGATTATGGGAGCTACAATTATTGAGGTAGAAGTAAACACAGACACCAAAACATTCAAAGAGGTAATTTATGTTTTATACTATTCATCATAGTAAGTAGTAAGTATAACAGTTACTGCTTTTTCTCATCACTTCTTTCATATTATTATCTCAGTAAGTATTTTATAATGGTTACATACCTATGTGTTCTATAAGCTGCCCACATTAAAGGTGTCATTCCATTCTGATCCATCATATCTACATCCTGATAAAGTCAGACAGTAAAATTTTATAAGTTCCTAACCAAAATTACTTGGAAGAATCTAAGTTACACATTATAGGAGAGGCCAATGTAGTAATAATCAAGGATGATTTATGAAATTTTTGCTTTAACATTCAGTATAGCCACTAAGTATTTTAATTAACATGTTATACTTTTATAGGTTTCCCTTTTAAGTGTTTTGCATTTAAGAATCTTGATATATTCTCATCTTTCAGCTACAAAGGACAGGTTAAGTTGCTGAAAAACTTTTTTCTACTAATGCATAATAAGAGGGACTAACAAAACCCCATTTATCCATAGGCACTCCAAAACAAAGGCTAAGAACCCAACTTTTTAATAAATTCAAGTTTAATATTTTATTGTTATGATGTACATTTTTCGGGTTAAACAGTTCTGCAAATTTCTGAGAAAAAAGCAATGTGAAAAAGCAATCCCACGCCTTTCCACCATGCCCAGCTGTTTTTAACTCATCATTTGCTCTGTATCTTTAAGAAAGGTGAACTGCTACTTGATTTTCAGCTTCAGGTATTGTCTTCTGAGACTCTTTAGTATGAAAAATGAGAATCTGTATCTCTCCTTTTCCTGTCCCATCACAAATAAGCACCTTTCCGATTCTTTCCTCTCGAGACATCTATTATAATTTGGGTTATAGGAGCACTTTATATTTTTATTATTAAAAATATGCATAAATATTTTTCCTGAACAAACAATTTAGTAAGCTATAATTTTCTTCTACTCAACTTTTTGTTTTCCCTTTTTATACTGTTGACTTCATTTATATCAAATTAAAATTAAAGCTATTACCTACTAAATAAAAATCATTCCTAGTTCTCTAAATTTCCTTTCAGTGTTATCAGAGATTCTATCAGTTTCACTGCCCTGAAATTGTAATTCCTAATCCACTCCAATGTGGTCTGATTATCCTCTCTGCCTGGAGCATCTGTCTCATTAATTAGAACAGAAATTTTTCAAGTACCAAAATTATATTAAATCTATCTTTGTATTCTCAGTGCCTAGCAAAGTAAATGATCAAAATCATGTGTTAAAAGACAGACTTACATAGCTACTATTCTAGGCCTGGGGAAGGCACAAGCTTTAGAATAAGACAGACGTGGTTATCAATTCCTAGTTCCACCTTTAATCACTAAGATAGTGGACAAAACTAATCTTCTGAGCCTATGTGTATTACTCAAAAGCTGAGGAAACAAATATTTTCATAAGACTCTCATAAGCATTAAACAAAATAACATATGCAAGAGAGCCAATCCACAGTCTGGAAAAGAACAGACTCGTAATAAATACTAAGTGCCTTCTGCTTCCCTTTCCCACCTCCCATTTCTTGGTTATATTATTACATAAGAAGCTCTAATCCAAGTTGTGTTGCAAATCTATCAGCAGTGGAAGAGTAGAGCTATCTATGTAGTAGTTCTCTGTGAACCATTATTGCTGATGGGGGCCATGTCTCAAAGATGAACACTATCCAAATGATTTGAGGGAAAAAATGCAGAGTGCTGAAACCATTACAACAGAGAACGAGAGTATATCCTTCAAATGGCACTACTTAATTTTTCATCATGAATACTGTAGTGAAGTATAATTTTACACATTATAAACTCATTTCTGCATTTTGGTAGTGTTCCTGGAAATATCTTCTGTGACCTCACCCAAAAGTGCTCAATACAGCTTACTTACAGGTTTTTTTTTTTTAAATTATCATGATTTAAAAGTTATTTTCAAAGGAATGACACAAACTTCTTTGTTTCATATGTGAGAGATAGATACTTTATGTATCACTGTCCTAATATCTAATCCAAATAAACTTTGTAAATTCTTTTTTTTCTGGGGGGGTTGCTAGAGAGCAAACCAAAGGCCTTGCATGGGCCAGGTAGGCACTCTATTACTGAGCTGTCCTCAGCCCCTAATCATGTAAATTTTTAATTTTTAATTTCTTACTGTTGGATACAAGTCTTTTTATATCCTTTTTAAAAAGCTGTAATAAAATATCAATGAATAAAATATGTAAAATTTAGTACACATCTCTAGAGTACTAAAAGGAAAATGAAATTCATTCAACCTTTTCTCTCTTTGAGTTGTAATTTAAAACCTACTACTTCCTTTCCAATGGATGTACGTGTATTCCCTTGTCGAAAGAATTAGCAAGCCAAGACCAAAAGCTCATGAGAATTCCGTGTCAGAGAGCTCTGTAAATTAGCATTTTCCCCTCTCTCTTAAAAACCATTCAAAAGAATTGGTAGTGAGCACTAAATATATTTAATAAATAAGTAAAATAAAACTGTGAAAAATAGGATCACAAAACTGAATGGAAATGTTTAATTCCCCAACTATGTAAAATTGGTACAACTACTGTAATAATGTAAAACTGATACAACAAAAATAGAGGGAAAACTGGAAAAGGACTGAAAAGATGAATGCCATGAACCTTACTCGTAAGAGCTATGAGTCAAAGCCTATTATCTAAAGCTGAAAAATTAAGAAGTACAAATTTATCACAACAAGATTAACTAAGAAAAATGATTACTAAAGTCAGTAAAAGACTAGGAAAGAGAAAACAAAATAAAAATATACTAATTTCATTATTACTTGTAAGTGAGAATTAACCAGAACTAATAAAATTGGAGCAACCACCTGACTGAACAGAGAGGAGAGTCGCCGTCAGAGGAAGGGCTACATTAGCAGGAGGAACAGCAAGCACAAGGACACAGAGAATAAGCAAGTCAGAGCTGCTCGAGGCGCAGCATCAAAAGCTGCAAGGGGTGGGCAGGAGAGCATTGGGCTCTCCTTTTTCTAAGTCATAAAACTATTCATCAGATTCATCATTTTTGTATAAAAAACACTATGATAGGTATACATCCTACTCTTTTAGAATTTTATAGTCTACGACGCTGGACTTAAGAATATTACTAGAATCATCCAAATTGCAAAATCAGTACCAAAAAAAAAGCTATGAAGACTCAAAAATGTATACCATTTTTCTTCCCCACTTAAAAATTGAAAAAAAAGGGTGTACCATTAATTCTTCAAATCCTGCTCTAGAAGAAACCACGGGAGACTAAGGATAATCCCCTGTTGTTCTTCAGAGATGGTCCCACAAGACTCACCTCCCTGTCTTCTAAACCTTGTGCTGGCCTGTTCCCACACTAACACAAGTGGGACCCATTCTGTACTTTAACTGAGAGAAAGGATCAGAAATGTTACTGTGCCCAGTGAAGACCTAAGACTTAAAGAAGAACAGCTTCTGCCCTTATTCTTTTAGGAGCTCTGAGGCACCATTTAAAAAATCTAGTTCTCTGCTAGGAAGACTACATGAAGTGATACTGAGAAGTTCTAACACTGCAGGAAAAAGACAGAGGCGCAGCTGTCCCAGCATCCTAGCTAAAAATAGTCCGCTTATTTCTACCAAGGCACAAGATAATATGTCAAGTGAGTCAACCAACCCTCCAACCCAGTCAAGAGGCTGAATAACTACAAGCCCCAGCCATTACTACAAGAAAAAGAACCACCTAGCCAAGCCCATTCCACTCACAGAACCGTGAGATATACTAAATGATCAGAACTGTTCTTAACCATGAGGTTTGGGGATAGTGTGTTAACACGGTAATAAACTCCCCTTCCAGCAGCTAGCTTAGTAATTCTACGCCTCCTTTCTTAAGGGCTAGTGCACAACACCCAATGGCTACTGCTCAGTACTGCCAAAAATAAACATTTTAAGAATTCATTAAAGGAAATAATATTCAAATTGAGTCAGCATAAAAATTTAAATTCAAATAACAATAAATATGTTGAGAGCAATAAATCACTCATTTATCTTACTCTTATGATGAGATACTTATTTATAAAATTAATTCATAAATATAACCAGAAAAAATACATGCAAGAAAAACTGGGTTACATTATTTTTAACAAAGTATATTTATTAGAAGAACACAGTCATATACGGACACTGGTAATATTTAACGTGATTATGGTCACTGCCACATGTTCAAGAAAAATCAGAAGTATTTAAATCATCAGTTCTCTGACTATAAGCAAAATTATTTTATAGAGCAGAAAATGAGAAACTGATCTTGAAGAAATTACTCCCCTAAAGACGTATTAAAATATAACCAATAAATAACTTCAAAAACATTAAGATGACATCAGATAATATAGTCAAAAAATCTAAGTAGGGAAAAAGTAGATAACAGAATTTTCTCCTTTACTTTCCAAGGATTTACTTCTAGTATGGGTTTGTTTTGGGAAGGAGTTTTTTTTGTTTTATTTTTTATTTTTAGACAGGGTCTTACTATGTAGTCCAGGCTGGCCTTGAACTCAGCACGTAGCCAAGGCTAGCCTCAAACTTGTGGTGATCCTCCTGCCTTAGCCTCCTGAGGGCTGGGATTACAGGCATGCGCTACCACATCCTCCAAAATTTGTCTCTCAGAAATTTAAAAAAAAAAAAAATGGATTCATGATTCTTATTTTCATGTTTTTTATTCTTATTTTTGTGTTTTCATGTTGCACCAGATCAACTTTGTATTTATTTATTTTCTTCATGCATCAGAAAGTATTCCTTAAATATCACCTGGTCGTTAAACATATAACACCAAATATATTAGGCATTTAACCCATGAAGAATGATTAAAATCTACACCACTGTGATACTTTACCTGTCCTTTTGCTATGAGATAAGCAACAATTGAGGTATGTCCAAATTGCGCAGCCAGATGAATACAGCTACATCCTTCTCCATCAATTAATGAAGGATCGGCACCGTATTTCATTAGTTGTACAACCATGGATAGATGGCCTTGTCTAAAACATAAAAGAATACTTACTGAAGTTATTTCAAACAAGATCTTCTGGAGTTTTTGAGGGATTTTTTTCTTTTTTTGAGATAGGGTCTTGCTATGTAGTTCAGGGTGGCCTTAAACTCACTATGTAGCTTAGAATGGCCTTGAACTCATGGAGATCTTTCTGCCTCAGCCTCCCAAGTAATGGGATTAAAGATGTGTACCACCACATCCCATTGCCTTTAAACAAGGCAATAGTGGAAAGATTACACACATATTTTACGAGATTATTTTTAAACAGATATGTAGGGCTGGGGATGTAGCTCAGTGACACAAGAACCTGCCTACCAAGTGCAAGGTCCTGAGTTTGATTCCCAGTACCAAATAAAAAAAGGTGTGTATCAAGAGATGTTTAGAATTCTATGGTTCCTAAAAGTTTTATTGGAATAACAGTCTGATAATTTATGTAGCTGTTCATAGCTTTTAAAAAACACAGTAATTACTATATTCTATTATTTCTATTCAATGTGATCTCAATCCCAAGAACTGAACTAGTTCTTTAATTTTTTTTTCATCTTTTTGAGAAAGGGCCTCACTACGCAGTTCAGGCTGGCCTTAAGCTCACTTTGTAGCCCAGGTTGGTCTAGAACTCACAACAATCCTTCTGCCTCAGCCTCCCAAGTGCTAGGATTACAGGTGTGCAACACATCCAGCTAGTTCCTTAACTGTAAATGTACACAGGTTGCGAAAGTATTACATTTACATATCCAAAATTTAGTCCAATCTTTTAAGTGGATTAATATTGGCACAGTAATCCCCTAAGGACATTTTGAACAATAGGCTTTACTTACAATGCAGGTAACACCAAAAAGCAATATATTAGGACATTAATGATATTAACTATTGCCATAACAAATTCTCCCATTCATTTTAGTGTAATTTTTTATGACAGTTATACTAGTATAGTAAACACAGAAAAAAAAAACATAGAAGCAAATGTGAACCTTGTGGCCCAGTGCAAAGGTGTTGAATTCAGGTCTCCTCCAAGTTGATCCACAATAGCACCTTTCGAAATATAGTATCTGTAAGACAAAATTTGTAATACTTTAGACATCTTTCACTTCAACTTCAAGGAATTATACACAAAAAAGTCCATTTTAGACTTCACGCTACTTTGTGCCCATGAAGATGAGCCATCTTTTTTGATAGTTTAAAAATATTCAGCAGAATTTTGTATCAAAAGCAACACCTCTTTTTTGGGAAGTAAAAGAAAAATAAATTTTTAAGTTATAAAAAAATTGAAATGTCAATTAATTATACAGAAAAAGAAGGTGGTCAGAGAATCTCAAAGACTTGAGTAGTAGCATACAGAAACAGAACACTCATAGAATAGTCAAGACATGCTCTATTTTGAGTTGCTCAGTTCTTTTAAACTTTAGTTTCCATGTAAGATTGCTTTAGATTAAACAATATACATGAAATAATTTTATAAAGTATACATCATAATATAAAGGTCCTTTATTATGTCTTGTTATACCTTTAAAGCTGTTTTTTAAGAAAAGAACACCACATACACTTTTAGAAGTCACAAATTTTAGAAATAATTAGTTTTTAGGATACTTTCAATGATTTTATAATAAAATCAACTAGTAATTAATTAGAAACACAGAAAACACTTACTTGACTAAATCTATCCTGTTATTGATGGCAGCCCAGTGGAGAAGTGTAACATTTTCTTTGTCTGGCTGCCGAACATCATAACCTGCTTCTACCAATTCTCGGCAGCGTTCATATATTCCGTATCTTAAGAAAGAAAATATGGCATTGTTAGTACTACTTAACAAATTCAAAGCTGAAAAAGAATTTACAGAAGAAAATAATGCTCCATTTCATACTCTGTAATTGAACTATATTCATCATAAAATATCACTTTTAAAATATCAATGTTTCAACAGCTTTCACTAATCCATTTTGCAATATTAAAGTATCTCACTTTTAAGAATGTAAAATCTCATAAAAAGGAAACCAGAAATAAACTTCAATCAGTTGCTCATTTTCTTTAGAGCACCACTTATTCCACAATTAAAGCAGACTGAGCTAAACTTTAAAAATACACACTTAAGCTAAAAATATTAAATACACAAAAGTATGAGTAAAGAGCAGGGTGGGGTAGAGCCCTGTGACTCAATTTAATCCAGTGAGATATAGCACATAGTCTACTGGCAGATTTATATGGGAAGATATACCTAGTGGGTAGGAGAGAGAAGCACAGGCAGGGAGCCTGACCTTCACTGCTATTTCCTGTCACTGTGGTAATTTTTAAAAACTTCTAAATTGTGGAAATTGTCAAATATCAACAAAGTAAGAGGAATAGTACAATAAACCAGCAAGAATCCATCATCAAGCCACAGCCACCATTACCTTTTTCCTAACCAAAATACTGGACCCCTGGAAGTACGTAATACAAAAACAAATTTAAACATATGTGACAATATCTTTCATCTCCTAATTATAGAGTGGCATCCAAACAGGGAAGCAACAGAGGATATACAATAAGGTGACACTAGAAGCGAACATTAAAACTTCTGAAACAGGAGATACACAGTAAATTGTGACAGCTGGTGACTGAGACTGGTGACCACGGGAAGAAGACACATTCCTCTGGAGGCAAACCACCACTGCAGCCACTCATCCCACTCCACTGAGGTCAAACAGAAAGTGACTGTGTCACATAACTTCACCCAATTCTTTTGCAAAAGAAGACAAAACAGGAGGGTCCTGAGCCCATCTGAGTCAATTTTCCTCAGTCTCGACCTAAGGTAACTAAGACCCTTATTTATAAACTTAGAGACATTCAAAGTGAGGAACTACATGCCGCTAGCATAAAACAAATCTGAGTACAAAATCACCCATACACACTTGCCTACTGCTTTATACACATGCATATGTATATGTTGCTACACTCCTTATATGTACGCTAATACTTTTATAAAAAACATATAATCTCACTGTAGCCCAACCACAGGTTATTCTGTGGAGTCACCTCCTTTGCTGTTCTTTCCCAGTCTGCTCTCTCTATGAGCAGTGCACTCCTATATCATATTTGATTCTAACGAACTCCTTCTCTTAATTCCTGTTAGCCATGCCTCAAATTACCTCTTTTACAAGCTAAACAACTCAACCAGTGATACTTTTACCTACATTCATATCTAACAGAAAAATGTTTTACTAATATTTAACACAGCCTTCACAATGCTGTAGTCTCTGGTTGTTCTGCATGTGAGTGCAAGCAAACACACCCACACATCCACAAATCAACCTAAGGAAGGAGCAGGAAAGGATTACAATAGTACCTTTGGTTGTTTGTTCTTTCATGAAGTTGTTCACATTTGTACAGCTAAGTAAAAACCAGGCATTTTATCTTCAAAAGCAGACTCTCACTTTGACAGGGTAAGTGAAAATCTTACCCACAGACTCACTGGTTAGTTTTCTCACATTTGTAAGTGCCTAAAAAGGATGTAAGTGGGGGGCTGGGGATTTAGCTCAGCGGCAAAGCGCCTGCCTGGCAAGCGCAAGGTCGTGAGTTTGGTTCCCGGTACCGGAGAAAAACCAAAAAAAAAAAAAGGATGTAAGTGCCATTCTTGGAGGATGGCAGAGCAGGAGGAACCAGAAATCTGTTTCTCCACCGAGACAACAACTACATTGGTAGAGTCTGTGTGACAGAGCCATTTTGGAATTCTAACCCAGTAGCAACTTCTTACCCGGTGGCAGGTGGCTATGTATCTTTTTTTTTTTTGGTTTTTTTCCAGTACTGGGAATCGAACTCAGGACCTTGCGCTTGCTGCTGAGCTAAACCCCCAGCCCCGGCTGTGTATCTTTTCCTAGAGCAACCAGCATATGACACTTACCAGAGACAGGGTGGGACAAAAGGACACACTCCTTCAATATCAGACCTGTGCTCTGTCTTCCTTGTAATTGGTGCAGAGAAGCAGCGGCCATTGTTGTTGTACACTGCCCCCTACACACACACACACACACTTTCCACTCTTTCAGTGCTACAAGTTCCTACCCCTCCAGCAGAAATGATTTCCCCCTAATTTAAAAAGCCAATACCCTTTTCTTCCTCCCTGTCACTCTTCTCTTTCTCCTTTCCAGAGCAGACAATAAAGACCAGGTCATTCAAAGGCAACTGCAAATATAGGAAAAATTTTAAAGTCACTGTGCATTCCTCTTAGAAAAGACGTAAGGGTATTGTAAGTTTACACTTCAGGCTGATGATCCATAGGGCACAGACACTACCTACAACAATAAAAAAATAATAAAAATTTTAAAATAAACAAAGAAACAGCAAACCCTGTGGAAGGAGGAGTACCTGATTTCTCAAGTTACCAGTTAGATTCAAATGTCCAACTTGCAACAAGAAGCATTCTCCCATTTTGGCATTATTTACCTTTGTGAGGTATCTTTTCTTAGCAATAAAATATAAAATGGGGTATCCAAATAAAATAAATTTAGGATCAGATGTCCATATCAGTATTACAAAATACTAAGCCAAGATCTAAAATATATTTAATCGCACCACCCTATCTGTAAATAGGCTAATTAGCATTGCTTAATCTGAAAGTGATATCTCTGTATTTTTCTGTAAGACTGAAATGTTTAATAAGATAATATAAAGGGTTTTAAAAACAAATTGTTAACAGCATATAAAGATCCTTTCTACGAAACCAAATAATGAAAAAGGTATATAAAAGTATACCTTAATTGAATATAATTGTCTTATATGTTTATGTTTTTTGGCTTGTTAGTGTGGCTATTAATTGGCACTTTTGATAATTACGTTGATAAGGACTTATAAATAAATTTAATGCTAGCAAAAAGTATTTTTAAAAACTATAAAAAAGGGAGGTAGAGGGGAAGAAGAAAAAAAAAGAATTGAGATGTGTTATATACATATACTAATTCCCTACAATGAACGTAATCATTATATACTGCAAACTTGTACTAATAAAAAAAAGACAGCGGGGCCGGAGATACAGCTCAGTGGCACAAGCGCCTGCCTGACATGCACATGGTCCTGAGTTTGATTCCTGGTACCAAAAAAAAAAACAACCAAGAGATAGGATAGTTAGAATGAATATGTGAAGGATAAAAAGGAGTGTGTTTTTTTCTCTTAAGATGGAAGATAAGGCAGGAGGATGGCTGCAAGTCTGAGGCCAGCCTGGGCTACATAGTGAGACCCTGTACCAAAAAAAAAAAAAGAAAAAGAAAAAAAGTGGAGGATGCTTGAGTGTATTTATTTGCTGATGAGAACTATGATATATTAGGGTAGAATAAAGTAATGAAAGATAACAAAAGCAGCAAAGGTCCAAAAGAAGAAATTAGACTGACAGATGTGTAGAATGTGGAACAGCAAGACTTTCAGAGTCTCAAATATGAAACATGAAGTAAATAAAACTCTTCAAGTAAGTAAATATTTAAATTTAAAAATTCAATTATACCAGAAGAAAAACAGACTAAACATTCAAAAACTTAAAACAGACGAACAAGACACATGTAGTCAAGCAGGAAGACTTACTCAAGGGGTCATAAAACTGGGTATGTGCACGAACTTTCACGACTAGTATCACTTAAAATGAGCAGAGTAATGCAATTTGCTCAATTACCAGTGGTTCAAGTATGCTTTCATCTTTGAATATAGATAATATTCAAGAATGAAAGTTAACATGAGCAGATTTTAAAAAGCAATTTAAATAGCTTGAAAAACTATCAAAAGAATCAACATTTTCAGTACTAGAGAAATTAACCAAAGGCTTTCAGCAACTCAGGTAGTAAAGAAAATTATTGAAGAGCTAAAAGAAACCATATCTAAAGAACAAAAGGAACAATGTCTCAACTAATAAGGAATATGAGCAAGAGGAAATCATAAAGAGAACTCAGAAATTCTTCAGTTGAAAAAATACAGTAACTACAAGGATAATTTACCAAGGGACTCAAAAGCAGACTTAAGGAGACAAACAAAAAAAAAATCAATGGTAAGTCAATGGAGGCAATCTAGGATGAGAAATATAAAAAAAAAAAAAAAGAAAAATTAACAGATCTTCAGAGACCTGCGAGATATCAAGTATATCAAAAGAACAAAAGTTCCAAAAGGAGAACAGACAAAGGGACAGGAAGAATATTTGAAGAAATTGTGACAATAACCTTCCCAAACTGGATTAAAAAAACAATCTAAGATCAACTAGTCTATATGTCTACCTATCAAATTTATACATTATATATATATATATATACTTCCAAGAAGCTCAATGAAATTCAAGAGGGATCAACTCAAGAGACCCACATATCGAGACACACCATAATCAAATTGTCAAAAGACAAAGAGAGAACCTTAGAAGAAACAAAAGATTAGTGACTAATCATACACAAGGGATCTTCAATAGATAGTACAGGGGATCTCCAGCAGGCAGTAATGGAAGGATTGGGAAACAAAATGACAAAGCAAAAATGGCACGTGTGCATCCTACCTAACATAAGTTACATTAAATGCAAGAACATTTAATTCTCCAATTAAAAGAATGTGGACTTTGCTGGGTGTGGTGGTGCACACTTGTACTTCCAACATTTAAGAGGCTGAGGCAGGAGGACTGCTGTGAGTTTAAGGCCAGTCTGAGCTACATAGTGAAACCCTGTCTTTAAAAAAAAAAAAAAAAAGCTAGGCATAGTGGCACACACCTGTAATCCCAGCACTCAGGAGGCTGAGACAGGAGGACTGCAGCGAGTTCAAGGCCAGTCTGGGCTACAAAGTGAATTCAAGGCCTGCCTGAACTGCATAGAGAGGCCTTGTCTCAAAAAGACCAAAAAAAAAAAAAAAAAGAAGAAGAAGAAGAAGAATGTAGACTTCTTGAAGTTGTATCTATGAAATAAATATAGTTTCCCCATTTTATTTGCAGATGAAAATATCTCCTGTATTTCAAACGCCTTATCACTTTACATTATAATACTCCTAGATTTATGAGTTTCCTTGTTCTGACTTGAAGTCTGACAATCTGGCATTTTGAAGATCATGTATTAGCTCTGATAACTCCCTCAACATAAGTCGAATACATGACACTGACTATATTCTATTTCTAATTTGTATACTTGAAAAGAAAGGAAATGTAGGATGTACTTCTTTTTTTTTTGGTCTTTTCGAGACAGGGTCTCACCACGCAGTTCAGGCTGGCCCTGAGCTCACTTTGTAGCCCAGGCTGGTCTCAAACTCACAATGATCCTCCTGCCTCAGCCTCCCAAGTGCTGGGATTACAGATGTGCGTCCACCACGCCCGGTTAGGATGTAAATATGGTCCCTAAAATATTAGTAATATTTTCTTAATAATATTTTCTTATTCTCCATAGTCCATTTTAATATTCTTAGGACACAACAAAAAGCTTCTAAAAAGATTAGCTAGCACCAAAAGTAGATTAAAATTAATACTCATTAAAAATAATTTAACAGATATTGACATTTCCTTCAAGGTAATATGATAGCTATTCTTATTTCACTTAAAATATTTATGTCGAAGAAGCAAACAACTACAACAAAATACTTACTGTGTAGCCTTGACAATGTCCCACGTGCTATAATCATCAATGTGAGTTTTCCGTCCCAGAGGTTCACCATATCCATGGTTATAATGGCTTTGGGGTTTGATTTCCTATTAGAAAGACAAATAACACACAGGCAAAAAGAATTTTTTTTAAGTATAAAAAAACTTTTTTTAGAAAATATTTTAATGTTTCTGTGTTGTCTGAAGAAAGTTTATTATTGAAATAATTAAGTTTCACCTTATTTTGAAGTATGTATGCTGGAGAAAAAGCATGGTCAAATAAACACACCCTTGCATACATTCTTAAAATTAAAAAGTTGTAAGACTAGAAATCAGTGACAAATTTGTAACTGAAATTCATCTTCAGCTCCACAGAATGCTCTTACATCTTCGTGACATCAGCTCTTGCTCAACCCAATTTTCTCTTACTCTAGCATAACACCCCTACTTCCAACATTCTACTTCAACCTGATCCCCAAATAAACTCTTACGGTCCTCAAGGAAGGAAAGAACTTCTACATTCTTACAGAAGAATACGGTATACAAGAACACTATTCTTCTATTTCCAGATACTAAACTACTTCCTACTGGGAACATAAGCATCTACCATTATGTGAATAAGGAACAATGGAAGAGTTCTAATAAAATTAAATCTTCTTGAATACAGTCAGGTGCCAAATAACATTTTGGTCAACAACAGAACATATACATAGTCTACACCAAAAAATGTACACACACTTCAGCAGTTCACTGTACTAATAAATGTCTAGAAGCTAAAAGCCAACACTCTGAGTACCTCTTGTAATTGTAGAGGCCATACGTAATCTGTATTAATCTTACAATGTCTCAATAAATATATATAAATTTAGCATGCTTGAGTGTTCATCAAATGCCTGCAGAAAAAAAAATTCACATTTTCTTGCAGATTTTTTTCAACATCACTATGCAATCTTTATCTGCCCAAATGTTTATAGATTGAATACAATCTGTAATAACAGTAGTCCTATTTCTTCATGCCATTAGTTTTCATATGAGATACACTGAAATGCCCCGAAACATTATAACCTCCTTACACGCTGAATATTTACATTATTCTCACATGTCCTCACTAAACTCTGATGTTTCTTCATAGGCACTTCTCTATGCCTTCTCTTAACATTCTCTTTACCACTAGACTTCAAGCTATAAGAATAGGAACCCTCGCATAATCATTTGTGTATCCCTGGTTGACAAGACAAAAGTCACATAACGCTGGCACTATTTAATGAAATAAAATAAAATAACAAACAGGGTATTTTCTCACCTTTGAAAAACACATTCTTTGATTCCTTTAGCATTTCTTAACTAGCATAAACATTTGAAAGGATATGAGTATTTTTAGGGTTACTGACACAGCACCATAAATTTTGTTTGAAAGGACTGTATTTATAATCCTACCTGCAATATTAACCAATTCTCCATAAACTCACTAGCACCGGGCATTATTTCTAAACTCTCCCCTATTCAGAATAGTATCTACAATTTTAAGTATATTTTCCTAATCTATTTCATCTTTTGAGAATTTTCTGTTCATACTCTTTGACCATTTCAGTCTACTTTAGTCCTAAAATTTGTGTATTTGATACATTTGAAACACATTTTCTTCTGCCACTACCGGGGACTGAATTGAGGGTTGTGCACATGCTTGCTAGCCAAGTACTCTACCACTGAGCTAAATCCCAGGCCATCTTAAAATTTTAGTTTGAGACAGGGTCTTGCTTAGACCACACTGGTCTTAAGACCACACTGGTCTTAAGCCTGCAATCCTCCTGCCTCGGCCTCTTAGGTTGAATTAGACTTTTATGTATACATAAATATTAGATAGTAATCATTTTCATACTTTTTAAGATTTCTTTCCACTGTATTTCAGACTATATTTTATATATATATATATTTCAGTGTTATATTCTTTATAGTCACATATATTAATCTTTTACTTGCATTTTTTCAGTCTTTATTTTTATATTTAAATATTCCTATAATCACGGTGCTACTCAAATATTTACAACTCTCTTCTCAGGCACATGGTAGGACTGCATAGTATACCCTTGGTTTTTGAAAGGTATGTCCCAGTGATTGGCTTTATTTTTAGCCAAAGGAATAATAAAAAGGACCTGCTACTTACTCTCTTTCTGTCATGGACACTGACAATCTTGCAGAGAGTAACGATAATCACCCTAGGTCCCAGAGCAACCCATAACATACGTGTATCATGAGCCACTAAAACTTAAGCTATTAAGATCTTAGGGTTAGCTGAGGACATTGCTCAGTAGTAGAGCACTTGCCTAACATGCAAGAAGCCTGGGTTTAATTCCCAGCACTACATGGGGAGAAACAAGATTCTAGGGTTTGCTGCAGCAAAATTTAGCTTATCCAAACAAACATAATTATGAAAGTTGTTTACTTAACAATATACAGATGGAGCTGCACAGATTGTTTTCATTATATTTTGGAGTTAGTTATAACTAGTTTATGGTTTTAGAATTAATGTTCAGATTCCTTATAACTGGCCACAATTGTAAAAATACGCAACAGTCTCAGACTACAATCAAATCTACAAGTAAGTGCTTGCCTCCCTCCACTGCCTATGGCACTGGCAAAAAGATCAGATGCAATATTAGAAAAATGATGAGAATACATCTTTAATTTCCTGTCTCATTCTCCATTTTCAATAGGCCTCCATTTTTAAGTATCTTTAGTGCTTCTCTGTTACATATAAAGCTATTAAACCATCCTTATTCAAATATATTTCATGCGACAAGGAATACTGTACTTGGGTAAAAATGCTCACTTGAGCACCACATTCTTAATTATAGCATATTCTTACATTATGATATCTTCATCTTTCACTTGAAAGTGATTTTCAATTTTACCCTTCAACTCTAGGATACTGATTAATACCCCTGGACACATCCTCAGACTGAAAACCTCACCTCAAGTAAGTCACCTCGCCTCCCTCTCAGCTGATCCCCTACCAGGCTAACTGCTCTTCCTGGTTGCCTAAACTCAAGTCCTGGGCACATTTCCAGTCAAGCTCAAGAAAGCCAGAGCAGACACAGAATGCTTCTGGAAAATTCTGAGGAAATACCTTTTAAGCATTGTAAATTTTTACTTTTTTAAAATGAGCCATCACAGACACTGTGAAATGATAGGAAACCGCTGAAGAGTAAAGGGCTTCTGGGATGTGGGGAAAAGAGAAGGGAACGAAGGAGAAATTTTGTATGTATGTATATACAGGATAGTTAACATGGTTGTTCTTCTGCCTTCTATTTCTATGCTGAAAGAAACTGTCAATGAGTCTTTGGTTGACCAGTATTGCATGTCTATATCTGTTTTCAGAAGCCACTTTGAAGATATCAATATGTAATACAACCACCATTGTTAATTCCCTACCACTTTGTTTGTAACTCTGTATTGTCTGTATTGTGCTTGTGATATGTTGTAAAATGTTGTATGTCTGTTAATGTTTCCCTTTTATCTTTAAAATAAAAAAAAATGAGCCATCACATACATAACTTAAATTTAATCACTAAAATATAACTTTAATGAAGAAAGTTAAAATTCTGAAAAGTATGTGAATAATTTCTTAGAAAAGCAAAACTTCTACCTTCAATTGAAAATAAAGGCAACGAGTTCAGCCGGCAATAAAGATCACTAGGAAAGTTTTGAGTAAGAAAATAACGAAACTAGATATTCAATTTTAAAAGATCACCCATTGGGGCTGGGGATTTAGTTCAGCGGCAAAGCACCTGCCTGGCAAGCGGGACGACGTGAGTTCCATTCCTGGTTCCGGAACCGCCCCCCCTCCGGGTTTAAATAAATAAATAATAAATAAATAAATAAATAAAAGATTACCCATGTAAGGCTCCAGTAAGACCTGACTCCCAGCTCCAGCCTGCTTGCCAACAAAAAAGCACTACTCTCTTCAGGGAGCTCAGCCAGCATAGAAGCTGCTGTGGGCAAGCACAGGATGTAGTGGAGGACACAAGATTGGACAAGGAATTTTGCAGGTCCAGTGACATCTGGGGACCTCTGCAGACATCTGGGGACATCTGGAGACAATATTGTCCTTCTCACTACATCCACAATGTAGTCTTACTCCTTCCTAGTTCTTTTGTTTTGTATTTTGTGGTACCAGGGATCAACTCAGACTTCACACATACTAAGCAAGCACTCTTCATTGAGCTACCCATACTATTTATTAAAAGTATCTCTATCAAAATATACAAGTTTGAAAATCCTTTCAACCTTGACTTTTTATCTCAAAACTTCAAGTACAATTAATTATGCACCAAGTCTCACTCTTTTTCTCAAATCCATATAGCCCTCTTCCTCTGTATGGTGCTGAGGCTCTCAGTCTGTCATATTACTGCCCCTTTCACTCTCTTAACATCCTTAAAATCATGTATATAGGTTAAATGGAGACTATTTCACCAATCATACAAAACCCTCCATGAACTAGTCCCAATGCACTTTTTTCCAGCTTTGGTATCATTTCCTTCTACACACTGTACACATTTAGGCACACCAGCTATTTCAATACACCTAAGTCAGGCATGCTGGTGCACACTTGTCATCCCAGCACTTGGGAGGCTCAGGCAGAATAACCACCAAGTTAAAAGCCAGCCCAAGCTACAGAGTGAGTTCAAGACCAGTCTGAATTAGAAAACAAGACCCAATCTCAATGCAACAACAACAAAAAACATTAAGTTATGTACTTTAAAAACCTTACAGCTTTTGTTTATGTTAGCTATTCTACTCAGAAGATAAAGCCCTTCAGGGTCAGGTAAACTTTTTTTTCCCCAGGTGGTACTAGGCACCTTTGCACTGAGCTATTAACCCCCAGTTGCTTTATTTACTTTTTATTTTGAGACAAGGTCTTGCTAAGTGGCTGAATTACCTAAGTTAGGCTCCAACTGGAGAACTTCCTCCTTCAGTCTCTCAGAGTTGTAGGCTTACAGATGGGAAAACTTTTATCAATCCTTCAATTTACAATTCAAATTCAGGATACCATTCTTTCCCTCAGGCAGTTAACTCCCACTATCTGTGCTCCACTGTTATGTAAATAA